TGCCTGAGGATTGGTTTCGGCTACCGATGATGGCAAATGAACCAGAAGTAGTCATTCCGATCTTCCTTCCCTTTTCGGGGATTACTCTTAGAATAATACTTCCTCGGCAACAAACGACCACCCTTGAAGGCTCCCAGGGGAAAACGGTAAACCTATATTCTGCCTCAATGGACCCCATGCTACTGAACATATGCTACACATATACGGCCGATGGATTTTTTTCTAGTAGTGCATATACTCCAGGATGAATGAAAGTAGTTTTGGCAAAACTGTCTTGTAAGGCAGCCTAAATATCTATTCCCCCCGCCCAAAAGTCTTACAGAATTGGTGGTAAAACATTTAATTCTTGGTTAGCGAATGTAAATGAATATTTAATTGGATTGAAAGTGATCAAAACATATTAAATTAGAGCCACGTATAAATATTATAATGAGCGAAATATAATGAACTCCGTCAAAATAAACTCCTGTTGCTCAAACAACTGATGCCTTTTGATGGAAATTCGACCTTATATTGGCGAAATTTAACGAAAAAAGGAAAGTCGGGCTACTGAAAATGTAAAAGTTGTTTAGTATTATAAGTCAAAGCCAAATAAGACCTCTAAATACAGTCCTTCAGTAGCTTTTATGCAAGTTAATTACTGTTCAACGGTGCATGCTGCTGATAAAACGAGCATGGAAATGGTCGCGCATAAAAATACCACGAAACTCCTAGCAGTACTATAGTCACGTTGACATCCTCACTCGTGTGAGATCAAAAAGCTCCTTTGAAAGTAGGTGGGATATGGACCAGGTCGTGTGTGGCATGCGTAGCCGAGTTGCTTAGGTTTGTCAGTTACTGTCCCCTGTTTACTCACCGCCAAGCTTGGACAGTCGGCTGGTGCATGGGAGCGGAATAAGAGAGACGGAGGCTGATACTCCCAGGTTAAATCAGTGCACTGCTCACTACACTAAATCTGGCGCACTTATACGAAACGCAGTTGTTGTGGCTTTAAAAGGTTGCTGTGTGACGGCATTCTAACCAGGACGGAAGGTCAGATTACATTTGCTTGAATTAAGTTTGGTATGTGTGGAGTAGTTCGTGTGCGACGCCTGCACACAGACTGCTTAACTTTATCCACCCCTGTTCCTACACTCCCTTCAGGTCGGTTGGGCTTCTTCTAGTCATAAGAGGGTGGCGGGTTTGGAGGAGGATGAGGAGTGTTTGAAGTAGGCGCAGCACAAGTCTGCTTCATTGTTAAGTAATTGACGAGTAATTCATCGCCACCGGGTCCAAATCGTGGAGTACCGACGGGCTTTGTCGTTTGTGTTGGTTGGTTATTCTCTGGGGGCCTTCCTGTCCGGCAGCGCTCACAGCGCAAGCGCTACGATACGAGATAAACAGAATAGTCGGGGGAGACATCGGAGGATGAGAAAGAAGTTAAGCGTACATAGCTATACCGGGAAAAATGGCTGAATGATAGGCAAAAGTCCTGAGAAGACGGAACTTATATCAGAGGCATTTCATCCTTCAGTGGGCCGTGCTGATCTCAACAGATAATAAAAATAATTCCTACCTAATACAAGCGAACATCCGTGTCCCAGGAAGCAATTGAGAAGAAGAAGACTCGATCGCTGGGACAATATGTTTATTCGCCTGACGTTTCGGCATCCGCGCGGATTCGTCATCAGAGACATGAGTAGCATGACGACGGATATCGAAACGTCAGGCGAATAAACATATTGTTTCAGCGATCGAGTCTTCTTATTCTCAATTTCCACCTAGTTTGCGTGTGCGATCAGGATGGTTCCTTCAGCTAACCCGTCTCATTTATTTATACCACGATGCGAAATTTTCATCCATCTGTTCGACCGTCGATTTCGATGAGGTTCACCGAGTACTCCGCAACAGGGTGATGCAGGGATTGTGACGCGCGCGTAGATTACTTGAAAGTGACGGTAGACTTGTGCTGCCTCTACCACACGGTCTCTCGCCTCATTCACCCGAACCGGGTGTCAAAAAGGAGGCAAGAGGACCGGAGGCGGGATCTGGCGCAGGTGGCCGGTGCAGCGTGAGTCCGGTAGTGGTTGCTGCAGCCCGACGCCCTCCTAACTCTTGACGCCATAGACGAGGTTACTCAGAGCATAGGACCCCGCCCGAAGGCAGTTTTCGGCGTACCTCGGACCAGACGCACTGACGCGCGAACTACTAACACGCTCACGCTGGTGCGTAACCTCGCGCGGTTCAACCAATGACCTTCAAGGCTGCACAAGACAGACAAATAACGGTGGTCCTCGCGGCTAGACGTGCGCTCCGGCAGTCAAGACTTTGTCCAAGCTATTCTTCTTTCCATCTTTACGGAATACACTATTCCTACTAATCTGGCCTTCCCAAGACTTCTCACTCACCTCCTAAGGAACCGGGCCTGGAAGATCGCAGCCGTTAGAGTTAAACTTTAGTAGCCTTAA